GGGGGGGGAAGAGGCTGGGTGCGGAAAAAGAGAAGGAAGAGAAAGGGGAAAGATAGTGAAAGGGAAAAAAGAAAGAGATATCAGAGGAAGCTGTTGTTTTGAAACGTGGCAGGAATAGGAAGTAAAAATATAGATTTTTAAAGGTATAAGAGGTTTATTAGTTTGTGCGAAACGTGGATGGATGAGAAGGGATGGAAAGGTTGAAGGGCAGATTACCACTTTTGCATGAATGGGCTTGCGTATACCGATCTGGTTTCGCAGTTATCAAACTAGTCTTAAGCAAGATTTTTTTCCTTTACATTTAGGTTGATGTCCCGTTCGATTTCCACCGTTCGATAATTGGCCAGAAGGGTAAAGATGTACGCGAATTAATGAATACACATGATGTACACATCATGCTTTCCCCAGCGGAGGAAAAGTTGGATTATATTAAAGTAATTTCCTTTGTTACACATTGACTGTCAAAGTTGTTACAAATATTTGTCTCACGTACTTACCTTATCAATTTCTTAGATTTCTGGAACACCGTCCTGCGTTCAAAGTGCCAAGGAAGCTATCCTTGAGAAGTGCGAGGCTTTGAAAGCCGAACGAAAGGATCGAGAGTTAAAATCTTTTGAACTAAAGGTAAGTTGCATGATTAATTTTCCAATAATTTAAAGTTTAATTTTGAAAAAAAAAGATGACTTGTGGTCGAATATTTTTAAAGAAAATTTTTAAAGAATATTTCTAAAGAAAATATAACATCAAATTTTATTTCGTTAATGTATATATGTACATAAAGTATATATGTGTATATGTAATTTATTCAATTAGATTGAAGTTGATCCGGAATATCACCCAAAAATTATTGGGCGAAAAGGAGCGGTGATCACGAAAATACGTAGTGATCACGACGTTCAAATTATCTTCCCGCGCAAGGGTGATCCCGAGGAACATATTATTACAATAACGGGATATGAGAAGAATGCAAACAGTGCGCGGGATGATATCATGAAGATCGTCAACGAATTGGTGAGTCAGTTTGTATAACATTTTTCTTCCGTCGTGCTTTAATGGACATCCATCCCTATAATTCCTATTGAAACAAAATACTACAGTTTATTTTTAATCCAATTGAATAATAGTTCCCTCAATGGAAATACTTTATTACTAAGGATTATATTTAATACAATCGCGCGTTTCGATATATTATGTTTTTTCTTGTTCACTTTAGAACGGTTTGACGAAAGAGGAAGTGACTATAGATGCCGCAGTTCATTCGCGTTTGATCGGTGCGAAAGGTCGAAACATCCGCAAAATAATGGATGAATTTAAAGTCGACATAAAGTTTCCGAGGAAAACCGATGCTGATCCCAATATCGTAATGATTTTGGGAGCGGAAGAGAACGTGAACGATGCGAGGGAGCGTTTGCTGAATCTGGAGGAGGAATACGTAAGTGACGTTCGCTTAAAACCGTTCGTAATGTAAGTGGAAATCATTCTACAGCTGTGACTGACAAAAAAAAATGTAAATGACAGTTGCAGGATGTGAGAGACAATGAGTATCGTGAGAGTTTGCGCTCGCCTCAACGCGACGACGGCAGTAGCCTCGGTGGCAACGATAATGATTCCGGCTTCATCGTGAAGGGAGGACCGTGGGAGCAGCAACAGCAGCAGCAGCAGCAGCCTCAGAGCGCGCCGAATACCGCCAGCGTGGAAGAATTTCCGCAGTTCGCAGGTTACTCTCACGTACCCGTTGCAACTCCGGACGGCCCTTGGGGAATTAAGCGTTAAAATATAAATCCCCAAAAAAAACATTCAAACTAAGGAAAAAAAAATCGATGGAACCTAATAAGCTAATGATATAAGGTAAAACTTTCCTCTGACAAACGGTATATAAAACACTACATATGAGCGTAAACGCATGTACACGTAACACACACATATATATATATACACACACATTCACGTACACGAAACACAATTCATACACTTGCATATGCACTTGTGTTGGGTGGTTCCCTGTTCCATTACTGACGTTGTTGCTGCATACGACCTGGCCGTTCTATTGGACTCTGACACTGATTTACTACACACAACGTTCGACGACGCGATGTTTATATTTACAATTCATAATACCGATGTCCTATGTATCTGTAACTGTAATGCATGTTGTCCCGAGTCCGTCGCCCATGTCACTCGGTCCAGTATCGGACGTACACACACACACGCGTACGTACGTCCACGTGCACGATTCAATCTCGTGGCTTTCATTTTTAATATGATATGCTTTCCAGGTACAGATATGTTGTACTTAAGACTGTGGCTTCGTGGGAAATAATCGGGTCAGCGTTCCGCGGGAGGGGGCTGAGTCCACAGAAATTGCAAAGCAGCATTCTGTGGTATTTTCTACCCTACGGAAACGCAATTTGTCTGTGAATGCAATTCTACGATTAGGAAACAAATATTTTTGTGTACATCAGCCTTTTCCCGCGGAAGCTGGCCGATTTATTCGTGTATTATATTAATTTCACAGATAATCTTTGTATCGCGTAAGACTGCGTAACAGTCATACGTTTTTTCGTTGATCTTAGCATAATAATTTGTTAATTTATTTATATCTTTTTTTTGTACATATATCACATTTTCTCGTTGTTTTGTGCCACTCAAGTGAAAGTGGTTTTCTAAACTACATCACGATTGTTGAAATTTGTATTGTAAAATTTTCACGAATCAAAAGAGAAAATGTAGGGGCTTTCTAAGGAAAAAATTTGTTCCTTAGGGATTACGCATTTTTTTTTATTACATTAATTAGTTGACTACCAACTCGACTTACATCTCCGCGATTTTTAATGTCGACGCATCGAATGCGTCGATACATACTTATCAATAATTGTAAGATCCAAATAACAAGTTTATAATCGGAGATTGAAATCAATATAATCTTCGTGAATGAAATTTTTGATGCTCTATAGAAACAGGAAAATGTGTTTTATGCCATTTGTCGCGTTTGTGCATTGTTCTGCAAGTAAATAGAGATCATTTTCTTGTATCTGTAACATCATAATAATGAATTATGCTATTTTTAATCATTGTAAACAATCAATATTGTATGTTCAAGGAACATAATGTTTAGAAGGCCTTGATTCCGCGCCGCTTACTCATTAAGATATACATGAAATCTGGCACTCTGCAGAGAATGGTCAAATTAAAAAAAAAATCTGTTGAATGATGTTATGAATAGTGAACGATACACGAATTCCTTTCGATAGCCGGCTTTATTTATTTGTTCTTCTTTACCATTTTGTACACCGTTTGATGTGCAAGTCTTTGCATTCTACTATTTATGAGGCCAACTAGCTAAGAAAAGGATATTCAGTTCAAGTGCCTTGTCTATTTTCTTCGAGACAGCTCATTTCAATTGTTGGAGGAATGTGAATAATAGATATAAATATACATATAAATAAAAAAAATACAATCATATATATATAAATATATATATATTTATATATATATATATTGTATTTTTCCGGGATATCTGAAAATCACTGGATGATACTCTTAGAGATTTCACTCATGAATTCAATGTAGCAGCTAATAATTCCGAATCGAGATTTTCTTACAGGCTGTTTCGTATTTTTCAAATCTTGCTTGCGAAAAGAAAACGCTTTTTTAACGGCTCGTCATTTTGAGACTATCGGCGCTTCGATATTTTCGATGGATAAAATATATCAAGCAATGTATTTTACCTGTCTGTAAAGTATCATCTGATGATTTTAAGACAGCCTGTATATATACACATCACATGTAAACACATATATGGATATTGATAATAATTATTCTATACAATATGTAATATGTAATAGAAGAGAGAGAGAGAGAAAGAGAGAAAGAGAGAGAGAGAGAGAGAGAGGTAATAGGTACCAATGTCGGTACATTGATACACTACTATTATGTGAATGAAATAATAGGATTATCATGTATACAGAAATTCACTTATATTTTTTAGATTTACAGTAATTTTTATAAATCTACTTGGTACGGCGACCTATGTGTCATCTCCAATGCATGGTAAATGTAAGGAAGAGCCAGAATTAGTAAATTTTAATATGCTTAGTTTTGGCTAAGAATTTCATAGATGCTGTGCATGAATATAATTTTCTAATGAGTTATAATAAAATATATTGTAATTACATGAAACAATATTCTCTGTACACATAAGTAAATAACGTTATAACACATGGATTATATTGTAACAATATACTACATTCATTGATCTATTTATCCATTTCCTGTGTGCACACATTCTTCTCCAGCCTTTCGATCTCAGTTCCAAAAATAACACAAAATTACGCGCGCAAATATATACGTACAATAAAATTGTCTCTAATTATGAAACACATGCCAGAATTACTGATAAATAATTTATCGACGTAGTACAAGTACTCATAAAAATTTTCATACGTTGAAACATTATAATTCGTAAAGAAACTTTGTATTTTCGATACCACGTAATTGTTTCACGAATCCGTCATTAGGCCTGATACAACTTCTCGCGCTTTTCACCGTATTGTAAGCTTCATCGTACGATAATTTCATAATAATGATTAAATAAGCGATTACGATACTGGGAGACCGAGAAACTCCAGCGTTACAATGCACAAGAATGTTCTCCTTACGATTCGCGTGTATGATGTCGACGCATTTGTTTACCGATGGTAGTATATTCGATTCCGGCAAGTCTAACAAGTCACAGGTGTGATACTGAATATCATCATATTTCTCAGAGATGTTGACACCTATACTCAAAATATGTCGTATTCCGTATTCTTTTAAAATATCATTGCAAACCACCGGATCTTGCGAGCTGAGATACAATCCCGGTATTATATTGGCGACCTGCAAATCAGGTTTCTCATCTATTACGAACGGCAGACTTTTCTCTAGTTCCTTCACTTGACCACGTTCAACTTCGTATTTGTTGCCGAGCGGATCCGTTATCACCGTTTTACACGATTTCAATGACGATCTCTTTTTCGCGATAAGATCTCGTAAATCCATCATGCAGAAATTAATAAATATTTATATTAAATATTCGCATTCGATGTCAAGTACAAAAATTTCGTTAAAAAAAATTTCTGTATGCTAATTTTATTAATATCTATCGTATGATAGATACTATTTTATGTACATAGAATATTATCTTTCACAACTGTTGCAATTAATAGTCTTTTAAACATATATTTTTCTTCTATTCCTTCAATCGCAGTCCTTGTTTTCGCTCTTCCCACCGCCGTTTCCGTGTTTGCTCCTCCGATTCTGGTTTCTCCGCTTGCTCCTTCGATATAGTGCAACGTGTTAATTCATCTGGATCATATTCTACGTTCAGTAGATGCAAGCCGTTCGGTGGTACAGGCGTAATACGATTATTCCAGTTATGATGGGAGGGAACTTGTAACATTACAGTGATATCCTTCTCCGTTATCTTTCCCTGTCCTAGCGCGATTAGAGCACCGACCATTCGTCTGACCTGCGCAGAGCAGCACTTGTAATTTCTTCACATACAAATGTATTATCTGTGAATAAAGTAAAATTTTACCTGATTGTACAAGAAGGCTCGTGCCTTGCACGTGAAGTGCCAGTACGTAAAATTTTTGGACAGTGGATCGAAAGGCATTAAAGGCTGCGCCTCTTCCAACGTAAAAGCCTGTAAGGCGCGTACATACTGAATTTTTCGATCCGTAACTTTCGAGCTAAACGTAGTAAAGTCTTTTGTTCCCATAAACAATTGTGTACCACGTTTCGCTCTATCTATGTCGAAATCGTATGACCTGAAAGATATGTGGTCATAAAAAAAGGCTACATTAATTTTTACTTCTTTGCATAATTACCTTAAATGGTAAGTATGCGTCGCTTCAGGAAGGGATATCCGTTGCTCTTCACATACCTTAGGTACCATAAATCTGTACAAATACGTTCGGGATTTACATGAATATCTTGAGTGAAAATCATTCGTGACAGGTATACAATCTAGTAACCTGTGAAAAACATCACACAGTTTTAATAAACGCACTGAATAATAGATGTATTAACATTAAGATAAATGTGTTTTTAGGAATTACCTAATGGTGTGACAACATTTGGCAAAATAACGATTAACGTATTTCTTTACAACCGACGAATCATATAGTGTGTTGTATTTGTTTTCGAGCTCTACATGAGCAGTGTTGCCTAAGGCATGAACTCCAGCATCTGTCCTACAAAAACATACACGTGTATGAGAGATTGATGAGAATAATTTAATCTTTTTGGCAAACATATAAAAAAATTTGCAATAAAATTATATGTACATATAATTTTATTGCATGTTTTTAATATACTTAATTTCTGTATATACATATATGGATAATCATAAACATATAAAACAATATCTTTAACAATAGAAAGACTGCACAAAAGCAATATAAAACATAGAAAAAAATATACCTGCTGGAAAGACACAGAGACGGGCTAATTAGAGTCTTCGGCAAGACGGTTCGTAGAGCAGTTTCTAAAGCGCCCTGGATGGAATCCGTATCCCGTATAAAGTTGTCAGCCGTCTGCCTCTGTAAACCCCTTTAAAAAAAAAATGTGAATGTTATGTCATAATAAGAAGCAAAATTCAAAAACAATAAGTGATTCAGGCTCCGATAATTAAAATTTAGAATTAATAGAACAGGGCAAGGAGCCAAGCTGAATATTTATGCTAACAAAGTATATTAATCAAAATTAATTACACACGGTAATTTATAATCAAACAATCGTTTCGGCTTGACATCAAGCCCTCCTCAGTGGTCTTTTACAATTTCTTAACGCGTCACATTCTTCTATGACATAAAAATGAGTGTCATAAAATTTCGTTGGATTAATGCGACAAATTTAAGAAATTCTCATTTTTATGTAGCAGAAGAATATGAGACACGTTAAGAAATCCCTGAGGAGGGCTTGAAGTCGAAACGATCGTTTGGATGTAAATTACCGCATGTAATTAATTTTGATTAATACACTTTGTTAGCACGAATATCCAGCCTGGCTCCTTGCCCTATTCTATTATTAATTTTAAAAAGAAAAATATTACAGAGATTCTAAATGCAAAACCGACGAGATACGCTCGTGAACGTCGTACTCGAATGTACTTATATACACGCTCATATTAAGATATAAATACTTTATACCTGTAATGTGTACCAATGTACGAAAACTTAAGCAAATATCGTACCATAATTTTTGTCTCTTACACGCGCAAGCGAGAAGAACAATATATTATCGTATGTACACAAATAGCGGAAAGTCGTACAATTCTAGCGAAAATCGACAATCCTTATAACCTCACTTTGTGACGAATATACACGGATTAAAATAAGCTGGGTTCCAAATTCTCGTCGAACAGCTTCCCCGTTAGCATTTTATCAAAATTAACAATTCGATCGCTGTCAATTACTCATACAAGTTACGTAAATTCAAACGCATAAACAATTAGCGGCGATCTTACGACTCACGGGTTTTATAACCGCGACAAGCGACAATCACCACGGACGCCACGTGCGAACAGTGAAGTTGCGAACCACAAAACTGCACTTTCCTTCGTTCCATTACTTCTACTCTTTTACCTTGGTAAAACAGTTGAAAAGAAAATATTTTTGCGGCAATATGTATAATATATTATAGCATTATAATAAATATTCATACTTATTAATAATATTATTTATATAATAAATTTTTATTATATAATTTATATAATAAATTAATATAATAATTTATATAATTTATATAATAAAATTTTATTTATATAATAATTTATATAATAAAAATCATGATTTTAATAATGTATCATTCAAATAATAATAATAATAATAATAATAATAATCGCAAATTTGTATATCAAAAGTCGATAACATCGACGCTCTGCAAAATTCGGGTACGGAAAGTGTAAGCAGAGAGGATCCTCTCTGGTGTAAGCGAGACAAACGAACCTGGGGCTGGAACCAGGAACTAGAAGGTTCGCGCATGCGCGAAGGGGTTCAATCCGACCGAAATCTAGGATCTAGAATTTTGGCCATCTAACGGTACTTTCCAAAGGTTTTGATTTTTTGACACGCTAGAAAACCGTTCATTTCGTCTCCTTGTTGTGACTGTTGTGAGTGATTGTATTAGAGAGTGTACAGAATTCAACGCACGACCGATTTTGAATCGCCCGTTCGTTGTTTGCGAGACGCCTAAACTTGTCCCAGACTTAAATGGATATAAATTGCAACACGCGGCCCCGTGACATGCTCTGTGGAATATGCAAGAACATTTTCCTCTTTAGTTTCACCTGATACACTTCGAGCCGGAGGGTTAAGATAACGTTACGTTTCGAAGCGCTTGGAATTTTCGAGAAGCGTCCGGATTTTTTTCCTTCGGCGGTGCGAAGGACGTGGGGCGGTCTTGTGAGGGGATAATGACATCGCGAGAGGCGCAAGACTTTCGCATGGCGTACGAGATGCACGAAAAGTTGAATTGTTTAGGCGTGACAGAAAACGCAGTTGGCACGAATCAGGTATTTATTTTGTTTTTCCTTCGACGGAGAACGTCCCGATTGTCGTATCTCGAGGAAAAAAATTCGCTTCGGCCTTCGGGTATGTTATTTGCGTACGTGCGTTGTGTGGAAGAAAATTGTTTTTTTTTTTTATAGAATAATTACATACGATTGTCATTGGTCGATCAAGAGCTGGAATTGATCGATCCTACTCCTAACATCCATACGATGTTCGTGCAGTTCGACAGACGATTCTTCTGGAATAGTTTATCTTCCGTCGAGGTCAAGTGGAGTAACCGAATGAAATGGTAAGCATTTCTCGCGATCTTACGGGTATACGGGAACTGTGTTTGGAGAGACGCTATTAGCGCTACTTGTGCCATCCTTGCTTTATAACTAATGAACAGATAGAATGACACAAGCGCCAGCATTATGTCTTCCCGAACGCACCCGGGATATTGTTATTTTAACTGTTGCTTATGCATAATATGCAATTGCTTTCAGTGCTGCTGGAATTTGTTCCTTCCGCGATCGTAATAAACAATGTGTGATATCACTCAGTGCACCACTACTCAAGCTCAGACCAAGGAAGGATCTAGTAGAAACCTTATTGGTAAATTTCATGATAAATAAATATAGAAGTATAATTGTATATAGGATGCAGATTGTCGTGTATTGATAGTATTTTTTTTTATTGTGCAGCACGAGATGATCCATGCGTATTTATTCTTAACAAATAACGATCGAGATCGCGATGGTCACGGACCGATTTTCTGCAAACACATGCATAGGATAAATAGAGAAGCAGGGACCAATATAACGGTGAGCGAATAAACTTTTACTCCTGATATTTTAGAGTATACTGTTGAACAGTGTAATATGTGACTACTCCAGAAATAATTGGTATTGTACACAGATAGCCCTTAAAGCTGTTGATTATAATTGAAAGAAAATTCAATATTTTTCATATTTAATTAATTTTTTAAGCGTTTTTATGTTTACGAAAAGAAAAATTTATATTGTCATGAAGTCTAAAATTTTTGCAAAAATTGGATATTGGAGAATCCTTTGAATAATCTGGATTTTTTGTACAAAGAATATCAATATCCAAATACGAACTGGGTTTGACCTGACTTAAATAGATTTTTGAAAAGAAAAATTCTTGAAAATAATCTTGTTGAATTTGTAATAATTTTATTTGTTTTCAATCTTAACTTTCTTATTACGTAACAACAAGATCATTTTATTTCTTTACGTTAGATTTTTTAAAAGAAAAATTCTTGAAAATGATCTTGTTCGTGAATTTGTAATAATTTTATTCAGTTTTAATCTTGAAAAATTTCTTATTACGTAATAACAAGATTCTTTTCTTTATGCTCAAACGGGTACAGATTTATCACAACTTTCACGACGAAGTGAAGCTGTATAGACAGCATTGGTGGAAATGTAACGGACCCTGCCAACATAAGCCGCCATTTTTCGGAATGGTTCGACGAAGTATGAATCGTGCACCCGGTCCGACGGACTTCTGGTGGCATGAGCATAAGCAAAATTGCAACGGTCAATTTGTAAAGATCAAAGAGCCGGAGAATTTCAAATCGCGTTCAAAGCAAAGCACCGACAGATCAAAACCGATATCAAAGGACAGCAAAACGAATCGAAGCATAACCGATTGGCTTCCAAAAAATAAAATTCTATACGTACCCACGTCTTCGAAAGCCCTTAATAGCCCTAGTAGTAACGCCTCCAAGATATGTACGGATAACGATAAGCCTAGCACGAGTAAAGGCCATGAGGCGAATTCATCTCGCACTTCTGGGAAAGATAGTCAAGATTTATCGCAGAGCATTAAGAAGCTCGGCAGCGATAGTAACAACGTGCATGGCTGGGTTATTAGTGGGCCGAGCGAGAACGCGCAAAAGGACGATGCGAAGAATCTTTCCAAGAACCCCGCGTTTTCTTGTTCCGGTGTTCTGGGGGGCAGTAATAGTGGTCGGAGTAATCTCCTCACCAAATTCGACGTCGATCAGAGCCGTTTGTACGAATCGTTCAGGAGAAAGGCAATCGCGAAATCGTCATCGGCAGCGGCGGGGGGGCAGAGATCCGCTGCCGATAATCCAGCCCTAAATCTAAGTCAACCGAGAAATAATTTCGTACACTGTCCCGCATGTAATGCACCCATGACTTCACAAAACATATACAGCCACATAGACTCATGCCTAATGAACGACAATTCATCGTTGATCGACGAGATCAATAATAATATCAATAATAATAATAACAATGAGGAGTTAATGCTGCCTATTCGAACGTTCTCCCCGCCGGTGGTGGAGCAGAATGTCGATGCTGACGTGGGTCCTAATAAGCGCTTAAAGGTAGACGATTCAAGTGAATACGTCACTTGTCCTGTTTGCGGTAGAATGATGCCGGACACGGATATCAATCAGCATCTCGATGAGTGTCTAGTGGAAGCAGATACAGCCCGTAAAGCTGCCATTCCCTCCACCTCTCGCAAATCATTCGATGACGGTGTAATCTGGTCTATAGACAGTTCCTTCAACTCCGATTTGGATGATTCTGCATTGACTGAGGACCCGGAAGCACAACCTAGTACTAGTAAAAAGGATGCGGAACGTGAACACAAGTGTTTAGTTTGCAACGCACAGATCGCACCGGAAATGTCATTAAATGAACATCTCGAGGAATGCATTGGAGGCCTCTTTAATGACGACACGATGGTAATAGAGGATAATGAGGACGGTAATGATGATCTTGCTGTAGAAAATAATTCTGCGGAAAACAAATATCCCTGTCCAGTATGTATGGAGGTAATATCGGAAAATCTTATGAACCAGCATTTAGATATGTGCCTTAAAAATGAATAAGTGATCTTGTGAACGAAAAGAACGACGTGAACGAATGAACTATTTTATGGATAACGAAACGGCATTTTTTTTTTATCTAAATAAGTATCGTAATAAATATCTTTTCATATGTAATTTTCATTTTTTTTTTCGATATCGCGATTTTATACGAGACAAAGGTAAAATGTAAAAAAAAAATAAAATGAGAAAATTATTAGGAAATAAATATGCAATTAAAAATGATGTTTGTATATTACTTGTCACGTATTATAAAGAAATTTGAGGTACACCACGACGAAACCTGCATTACGATAAAAGGCACAATTTACATGCCGAAGTGTAATTAACGCTTGTGTAATCTACATGTAAAAAGAAAAAAACATCACGTATATATAATTTCACATAGTATAAGTTTTTTTAACGATTAAAACTGGTTAACAAAGAGCTAGATTATTTATCTAGAAAATCGTTACATAAAATTCTTAGCGTTATTTTTTAATAAATAGTAAACAATATCTAAGGCTATAATCAGTTAAAATCTAGAGCTTTAATCATTTAGTCACTTAAAACTAATACAGCTGCTTATTATTTCCTAATGTTTGTATTTTATTACGGAAAAAAAACAATAGAATATAATAGAATGATTATGTAACGAATCGTTCAGATGTTCGGCTTACATCATTCGGCATTTGGCTCATTGGCAGTTAGATTATTAATCATTTGACTGATTGATGCATAATAAGGAAATTTCAGATATCATTTGATTGATCAACAAAAAATACGAGCCGAAAATCCGAGCTCTAATTATGTAATTATATAGATACCTTTTTTGTACTGTACTATTTATCAGATATACACATTAAAGCGTATATTAAAAATGAATATAAAATTGTTATCTTGCGATATCATTAATATGTGCATTATTTGCATTATTATATATACATCTTTTACAGAGTAAATTAGGGTAAATTAATTATTAATTTTTTCATACAATCTGTCGACGTTGGGATGGTCGAGTGTGCATATTCCACAACTAAATTCTAGCACGTGGTTGGGGAAAAAGAGTAGAACCTGTTCCTGCGTCCAGTGTATATACAGAAAAATATTAGGTAGCAAAATATTGATTGTCTTGTCGCCCATTTTAATCCTGCACACAATTGAAAAATTTTCTTTTGTTTTACATTCAAACAGCAAGAGTGATATAAATCGATAATACGAAAGATCCATTTTAAATGTACAATTGTCCACTTAAAATAGACTTTATATATTAATGAATCTGCTTTGAGCTTTTCATTTAATTAATTCAAGTGCTACTTTTCTCTACTTACTTTTTAGTTCCTAGTGTATGAAATGCGTAATGAGATTGCAATTGTATGTGTGACGTAGCGTTGTATAGGGTTCCTCTGTCCTTGCCAGCCGTAATCCATGTAGTTCCTGATTCGTCGGTTAAATTGACGTTGATCCCGTACACACCGTTGGACGCCGTTAACGCGAGTCTAGGATTTTCGTCGTAACATTGTCCGAGTAATATCACTTCGCTATTTTTAGCAAAGCTGTAAACCGTGTTGTACGCCGATTTTATGGAATCTGACGTTATAATACACGCGCCTGAATTAAAAAAAAAAAACATCGAATAACATTTCGAATCGTAAAATATCGTCGCATATGAGATATTCATCAATACTAGAGCAACTTATTTTAAAGATGATTGGCGTGACATTACGTACTGGAAAACATTCTGAATACAGGTATTTCCATGTACTTGTGAATTCTCGTCCGTGTCAAAAAAAGATCGATGTAATGCGAATTGTATTCGATCGCAACTTTGTCCCCGTTAAGTTGCAATTCGCCGACATTTGAGTCCTTCGGAAAAATCGCGGTTATCGCAAGCTCGTTGGATTTTCTTGCAGCACTGCTGTTTCCACCAATAAGATCATATAAGGCGTGCATTTTCCAGACCAGCTTCGACAAACTCTCTGGTAGCTGTTGTTTTTATTACAGGTCTAATTATTATGTTATTAGCGTGTGAAGTTTTACGAGATCTTTCAAACTTACGTTTTCATATTGTGCAGAGATCTTGTATCTTCGCAAGGTCGACAATTCTTTCGATACTTCGTAACAAGAATTCGTGTAAGGAACGACTCTCTTGCCCGCAGATTCTTTTTTGCACTCGCCGTAAGGCCAGCTCGTCCTTTTACTTTCCTCGAGCTGCTTGCTGCTAACTTCGCCAATTAAGTTCATCGATATGGAAGATCCGCTGCATTTCCCCTTCGCGTTATCGGACAGCCCCCAAACGATATTTAACTTAATGCGAGATGAGTCACTCGGTTCGTTACTCAAAATCTCCCATGGCCACGGCACGTGTCTTTCGGCCTCTACGCATAACTAAATCAATCAATAAATCAATTTCGGTTACATTCAGCGTTATTGTGGACTTGATGTGGAACTTCGAAGTTTACCTTAAGTATGCGTTCACCAGGCACAATCTTGGTTGCTTTCAATTTAATCGTATCCGATAACCAGCTAGTGGTTTCGTATAATGCAGCTAGATTCCATTGATGAAGAACTTGTGAGGACTGCAGGTCGTGGTGTGTCAAAGATAAAATATGACGATTTTCACTCTTCAGGTATTCCAATCTCGTCTAACAAAAAAAAAACACTCAATATAATGAATTTAATAAATATTGTAATAATATACATAAGCGTACAAAATGTACTTGATGGCGGTCTCTCTTTTTGTAATCGTGGACACAGCTCCTTCTTTTTTATTTTTACTGTACAATTATATGTCTCACCTGTGATGGTCCAGACTTGAGTGCCTCGATATAAGCAGTTAATCCGCAGCTACCCTTTGGTGGTACGTAAGTAAAGTAATCCAAGAAGTGCAGTCCGATTAAGGCAAATTTTATACTTGGCCACGTTCTGTAATTTTCAGAAAAATCGATAATTGATTTAAGATTTATATATTTCGCAGTATATTACATAATAGTGATAAAAACATGTGTATATTAATATACACTGCTGTATCCTAGCCATAGGATAATAAAACTCGAGAGCTTACGCTGAAAGTAAAAATGAATCAGTAAGACAAATATAAAAATCAATTGTATGTTCATAAACATGAACAGTCTATAACAAAATTTATTGAGTGAAAAGGCAATCAGATACACGCGTCTGAATACCTTTTCAATTTTTATCATCAGATGAAATTTCAAAATTGATTTTTTCGAAATTAAAGCCTTACATAAAAAAATTTATATTTTTATCACTTTTATTTTTTCAATTATTTTTCTGCTTATATTGTGAAACAGATAAATATGAATAAAAATAAATCTTACTGATAATTGCTTCGATGAGAGGACCAAATATCATTAATTAATGTTTCATGCGATATCATGCTTTCGCAATCGAATATCTTTACTTGTAGCCGACCATCTAATTCGGGAAGTCCAACGTCAAGAATATTCACCGTCTATATAATAGAGGGAAAAAAAAAAATTATTTTTGTATATTCATTTATATATAATTATATAAATTAATTGATATAAATTTAAAAATAGGAAAAGAGACTCTATACACATCCGGAATAATAATTACCTGCGGATTAGAGGACGGTGACTTTACAACTGTGTGCGATACAGAGCACGAACGACAAATTCGATCCAACTTCGATCGAACATTGGCACCTCTAATGCTCGTGAGCGTTTTAGCGTGTACTGTAATTCCCGTCTTAAGGTAGCCTGCAACGGGAGTTTAGAACGCAAAAAGTTAAGATTGAATAGGATACTCACGACATTTTTTTAAATATGTGAAATTTTACTAAATAAAAAAAATTGTTTACAAGTATCGCCCGTAGTCTGTTAACAAAATTAGATTGATACCTAGAGTGTCGTATGAAATAAACGGCCGTTCGTCTAATCCAAGTGTGACGTTAATAGGAAAATATCCGTGCAGCGACTGAACTCTTTCAGCGCTATGCCACAAATCGACCAGCGGATTATAATTCTCTATCGTTTCAATGCCGTGAACAGATGTGCTAAAAAATATATCTCGAATATATAAATAAATCTAAAAATACATTTACGAAACATTAATTATTTCCGTAAATAAATATTACGCGCGAGTAAACACGTGCAATTGATGTACGAGGTAAATTGTACACCGTACGCATATGAATATGCGAAATATAATCTTACCGCAAAATAATATGATTACTTCGTCCGGGAAAGTCGCGTGTGAAATTGCCTCTCATTGAAAACAAGGACGTTCCCGTCATCGCGAGTCTAACATTCGTACCGAAATCGGTCACTTGCACCGATTCTAACGACAACGGCACATTTATACGTTGTTGATTAATGTGAAACTCCATGTTATAATACGTTTGGTATAGGTTGTCCGACAAAGAGGACAAGTCTAGAAAATTAAATATGCAAATGACGTAGCATTGCGACACTCGCGATTAATGAATTACGAACTTACACTTCAATCCCTCAACTATGTTTGTTTCATTCCAGTGAACGCACAGCACTGTCTTTTCCTGAATTCGCGCAATTACTTCCAAATGCACAGGGCCTTGCCTGCGCTCGTCCAATTTGAATTCCTTCAGAATATCTTTTATGTTCGTCGGATTTTCGAAGGAAGTCGCTAATGAGTGAAAAATACCTTCCGCTTTGATATACAACTAATGTCGCACCAAAAAAAAAAAAAAACAAAAACAAAAATAGTAATTAAATCCATCAGTAGCCAAAAAGATATCCTCGCTTTGGAAACCATTTTACTTACAGACACATGATTAAAGTGCACTCCACTAGCGTAATTATTTAAAGTCACGTATATTACTTCAGGAATATTTGTAGAAGGGTTGGCTACGATAATGCCGTGCAACATAGCGCCGAATCGTCTCAAGGAATCTTGATAGTCGACCAAGTAATTACCAGTAATCAGATACTCATTATTCGGTACCCGAAGAACGCGACTGAATTGAGCCGCGATTCTGCCTCTGTAAATATCCAGCAATTATAAGGATTAGAAAACACGTAGAAATATATGTTAAATAAATTATTAATGTTAGATGAACTAATAAAAAATTTTTGTTTAATAAATGGAAAAACAATGTCAATATCGTTCAAGCATAAATTGAATAAGATAGCGAATTAAATGAGATAGAATAAATACGTAACGATAAAAATTAACATTCGATTAATATTGCTACTGTTCTTTCGCTCTAGTAAATTTATACGCGTATTTACATGCGTCTATAACAGGGGTAGGTGGTGCGTTCCATAGATTTTAGCATCGTATAAAAATAATTATACAAGTGTTGACTGGGCTCGTTTTGCATGTACCAATACAGAGATATCAATCTGCTCGGCGTGGGGCTGGAGACAATAAGCAACGTTAATGCGGCGACCCTCATTTCCAAATGCTCGGTTCTGTTGAGCAAGATCGGCCAGTACACAGGATAAATCTGCAAAATATAAAATTATTACGTGTAGTTTCAACGTGAGACGTGACGTCAAAAGCACTGTGTAAAATCTACACGGAAGTACTCGAAAGTTCTATAGGCTTACAACGTCGGGCCTCAGTGGCGCAGTGGGAATGGAGGCCCAAGCCGCGAGTGCTCGAAAATTCCGCGATTCAGCATTGTTGCCGCTAGCTATGGGCTCTAAGAACTCAATGACTCTACCCAGCTGTATGTTCGCCAGACCTTCCAGCCAGATCACCTTCTGCTCGTATCGGGTGGATTCTGCAACATATGGATCGAGCAGTCCTATGCGAACGACATAAATTGCAACGTAAAACAGATATACGTGATACAAATTGTTACATATACCGGTAAATTTGTCGAGATACAGGCGTATGTAATCGTCCAACGTCTCGTACGGGCAGTGCACCAGGCAAGTTTTGTATATTAACGTTCCGTAAGTGAGAATCGCGGTATTTTGCACCTCCGCGCTGATCGCGCTCGGCAGCGTGAGAAGCGGCTGGAGGCTGGCCAGGAGTTGAACGTCGGGCTTTCTTATGTGAAACGGTAGCCGCATGAGTAACTGAATCGCGGATACGTCGGCCACCTTGCTGCTCTGAATAAGATCCAATATGAAAAGCGCAGATTCGCTGCTTCCGACTTGCGGCAGCGCCTCGAGGAACATGTTTCTGTTGCAAAAGCACAGAAATATAATTTATCCTGAAAGCGGGATAAGAAGGGATAATTAACGTATAAATAAATTATACCGAATCGTTTCCTCTTTATAACTAGTTCCCGAGATGCGAGCGTAGGCCTTTTCTAGATCGACCCGATCTAACATATCGAGATAATATAAAAGCACGGATATCGTTGTGTTGTGCAGATTATTGATTTCGGTGTCCAAGCCAGGATTTTCGAGCCTGTGGCTTAAACGATCTAATAAACGACTTATCTACAACAAAGTTGATGAGAATTTAATTAGATTTTCTCTAATATGTTTTACTGTAATTAGATATAATTATTTTAATTGGAATATGTTTAAATTAGATTATTAAAATTATTTTAGATATAAAATTAGATATATAATTTAATTAGAATAGCAAGACAGCCAAAAGAAGATTAGAAGTGATATAAACTTACAGATTTTAAAACAAAATTTTTATCCGGTGTGCCTCTGCCCTGTGTGAGATCTGATTCTGGTAGCTCGTGTTGAAGCGCCGTAGTTTGTAAATTATTTGTAACTATCTTGTTCGTTATGTCCTTCACTGAGGATAACTCAATAGTTTGTCTGTGCAGGATAGAGCAATTCTTATACACTTATATTCATTTCGAAATAAAATAACACGAGTGTAACGTCTGTAAAACATACCGAACGAAATGATAGTGCGCCTCTCCCATGCTTTGAAAAGGTTGCACGTAGATACCTCCGGATGCATTGACGGAGATGATATCGTTGACGAATCCGTCGGTCTTCAATTGATATATTCTCTCGCTACTTTTCAAGATGGGATTCTAAGTTATAACATAGCATAATTCGATAAAATATATATCAATTAAATAATAGTTAGATTGTCAGCGGCGCAACGTACTTGATCCTCGTCAGTGCATTGTACTTTAGGAACGTTCGACCAGTAGCGACCTGGATGCCCAGTACACGTCCGAGGATCTAACGATTTCCTTATCAAACGCTGACCGTCGCCTTCCGGATTTACGACGTAATCGATATCACACTTTCCGTAATGGTTTATCTGCGAATTACATTATAATTTCTGTGCATCGTAATGCCTTCCAAAACGTTCTTATCCAATATGTATATTAATTCATTCGCGCGTGTCTCTCCAAATGCTTGTCACTTACTTCGCTAGACTGAAACGCGACCTTCTTTTCCAAATTAAGAAGATCCAATTGCAAAATTCCAGCTATGCTCCGTTTTATGTTCGTCGTCCACGCAGGCTCAGCCTCGGTGCTGAAATTCTCGATGAGTCCTTTGTTGTACGATAAACGGAAAGGTTTCAAAAGTTCTAAAGCGTCATCGTAGATATCGATATCTTCTACTACCTCCTTTACATTTCCATTATGCATGCTCGTCTTCAATGATTGCAACTGATAAGAAACATGAGACAGCAGATTATAATAAAATTAAATAGTATTAAGAAATCATGTACTGCGTGTGATTCTTATGGTGAGAAAAAAAATTAAAATAAGAGAAATAAAGAAAATTATAGCAATTTTAAAAACACCTGTACTGTGACATAATCATCTTCCGCCTGAATTACGAGTTTTCCATTAAGATACCACGAGGAAGCTGCGTTGGAAGGCATCAACACACCAGTGCTCGACGTAACGTTGTAAGAATATGTGTATTCTTTTCCAGATTTGAACAAATTTTGCGCGATACTCTCAGCGCTTAGAAATAATAATACGAATAGTGTTCTTCCTATTCCTTGCGCTAGCCTCGCGCTAGGTACCAAACTGGAATCTGAGAGAAAGAAAGACTTTCCTTATGTTATTCTTGTACATTGGACTCATCGTTTTTCAGTCTTTTTCATTTCTTCGCATATTTTCACAATTATTGAAAATCTTTACAAGGTCTTACAATCTTTATTTGTTAAAACAGACGAGAATGCAGACTGGCATTTTTCTTATTATCAGTATAATGTTATTAAGATAATTGCAATATTTCGTTTGCGACAATATAATCGTCTTATTTTTTAATATATGTGCGTACCTGTGAACTTCATGATGTGCGATCGTAGCTCGGCGAAAGCAAACTGAGTTCACACAAGTCAAGGAATGACCCTTACCACTCTTACCAGTTCTTATCATTGTGACCCACGGGTACAAACACGGTTAGCCGCGCGGATGTATATATACAGAAATTATGCTCTCAGCGCATTATCTTCAATCATATGGATATCGCACGTATATTATATTATCGCTGACCCTTTTTTTCACAAGCATATAAAATATGTACACATTTTAATTTACGTATAGTGTTTGTTATACATCGAAGATCGAAGCATGTGCAGAAAAACAATCAATTTTTCAGTTTTGCATGGTAAAAATTAATATCTTATAACGTACGACTTCGGGTAACGAGGCCCTCAAAAACATATCTAAAATATAACAATATTTTTCTGAAAGATTATATAAAAGACATTTAGAATATATGTATAAGATTCTTTTCGATTTTATTTTTTCAGTTATTTTGTTATTGCTATCGTGAGTAAAAGGTGAAAGAATTTCTAATGATTTTATATTGATATATAAATGTTTTATTAGTTTCAGAAAAAAATAGAAAAACATGCGTTTATTAATTCGTAATATATCGAATGTATTATAAATTTGGTCAAATTACATATCATAAAATATGTTATTATGATATATGAAAAATATCTTATTGTATGATTTTAATATTTTTAGCAATTATCGTAATAGCTATAATTTTTTTAAAGGCAAGGCTCGAACATAATACACTATTTACAGATTTATTTTTCACTTATGTACAATCGGGAAGTATATCGTGTTGTGTGTTGTCTCAGGTTCTTTAATTTATTACTATACAAAATTGTACCTTTATATATTACACATTTGACAATTTACTGTGATGCATCATGTACAGAATTCTATCATATGTTATATGTATAAAACCTATCAACAAGCATATTGGTACTAAAAGCATGAAATTTGATATTACTGACACATGTATATAATGATCAACACATTATAAGGGCTTGATTATTTTCAGGATGGACTTGGCGTACTCCCAGGCTTCACTGCAACACGTAAATTTCATTTTATAAATTCATATGGCTTGCACGATTCACAATATGAAAGAACGTTTCACCGATCGCGGCTAATATTTATTAATAGATACTTACTTGTGTGCAGGGTTTGCCTGATCCAACTGCTCGCTAAGTTGTTGAATAAGTGTGGCAAACATTTTGAGATGTTCGATCGTTTCTCCTTGCAGCCATGCTCTTGGCAGCGTGCTCATAATCTAATAAACATTGATAAACATTTTATTGGTTGCAACAGAACAAAATTAAAGTGCTAAAAATATCTCTTTTCATTTCGATGTAATACATTTATTATATTTTAATATAAAACATACCATGTTTGCTTTGAATAAAGCGTCAGTTGGGCAAGAAACTCGTAATCCAGCAAGTAAATAACGATTCAAAAGCGAGCCTAGCGCTAAATTTTTTAACTGTACATCCCCAAGGAGACCTTGCCAACTTAATAAATTGCGCAATAATTTGACAGCCATTGCAAATTGTCTTTGAAAGAATTGGTGTTTTGTGTCCCAAACTCTGAAATGTTAAAACTTGTGTTAGGAGCAGCGAAAGAATAATGTAATTATATGCGAGATATCAACTTAATTATATGTATACTGACTGTTTTGGAAAGATAGGTATGAAAACGTCATTTTCGATAGCCGCCTTAATTTTATCTAAAATAGCGTTGAATAGAGTTTCCAATTGTTTACTGGTGTCGTTCAAATTAGGATATTCCTTTATCAATCGATTTATAGTCCCTACGAGACGTAACGTCTGGGATGTTGACATTGGATCCCATATTTTTTCGATAATAGCTAAAAATATTAACATTAAATATATATAATTATTTCATTTTTACTGCAGTTTTATATAGTATTAAGGCCATCACACGTACAAAAATTTTAATCGTAAACATAAGACCGTAAGCAATCATGATCAAAATTGCGATCTTACGTTTTAGAATGTTTGACTGTGATTGGTGAATATGCTTACGACTTTATGATTACGATTAAAATGTTTGTACGTGTGATGGCCTTTACGGAAGATAATCCTTATATCAATTCTTACATGTCAATTTTGGTATCACAATTTTTTCAATCGCGGATGGTATTAATCTAACATCTGGATCTCGTTTCAACGACTCCTCTGTCTCTTGACTGTCTAAAGCGTACAGAAGCAACGTATTATACCATTTCGTCCTCTCTAGATCAGCGCTTTCCTGTAAAAGTAATAATTAGACATTAATTAAAAGTGTTACTAACGTCCTTTTACTGCCGGAAAGAGTGTAATAAGTACCATAATTGGATTCCAAGTAACTAGTTGTAATCTGATAATGGGCGAAATAATTTTAGGTAAACACAATGATACATAAGCTTCCGTGTAAGCGTCCATGTCCGTTTCTCTCCAAGATTCGAATTTGGAGAGAATATCGCGTAATGTACAATATTCCTCCCTAACGTCAGAAAATATATCTTTACAATTATTATCGATTTCATCTGTAATAAAATAGAAATATGTTATGTAATCAGAAAAATTATATGGTAAAAAGAAATATGAAATTTCAAGAAATGTAAAATCGACTGTCACCTTTCGCTTGCTTAAATACAAGATTTTGTTGCTCGGTGACTTCATCATCGCTAGACATGCCATCAATGTGTTTTGGCATATTTGAAGCTAATTCTCTTGCTCTTCTGCGACGGGCTCTTCTACCTTCTCTCTCTGTAGCTCGTCGTACGTGTACTTCTACTTCCGGTCCTCTTCTCATGGCTTGACCTCCTGCAAGACGAAAAAAAAAAACGAATCTAGAATGCGTTGCGAAATCTTTCGATGAAATCTTCGGGGCGTAAGGTTATCAAGCGTTGCCAAAATACTAAGTTTTATCAGTTATATATGTACACTGATTGGAAATGTACTGACTTGTCGCGGTAGTTATTTCTTCCGCCTGATCCCTCGTATCTTGCCGTCTCCGTTCCATCAGTTCGGTCGAACGTTCGCCATACAGATTTAACCAGCGTTGCTCCAAATCGACGATCGAGGGTAGCTAACAAAAAAATTATACATTTAATTTGATTCAATGAACATATTCTATTAATTAAAATTGATGATATTTAAATGCAATGTCTTTGTGATAACAACAATGCTTCAGAAAGCATTAATTTGTCTGTTAATTGTGGTAGCTTCACAAATTAGAAAATTTTTTTACGTAAACACAATACTGTTTACACATTAAAAATAAATAGATTAGACATCAATTTACTTACCACAGTCAAATCAATTTATTAATCATCTTGTATGATATTTATCTTTATGAAATATGTGTAAAAATAACATATAATACAGAGAAGATAATGACCCCCGGCAATGGAAACATGTATATGTGCTACATATGCACATATTCTTTTTATTTTATAAATAGTTGAACCCATTAATTGAAAAGATTTTGTCACTCTATTTTATTTCAAAACTCTTGATAAATTAAAAGAATAACAAATATTCTTTTTTTTTTAGGTAGTATACCTTGAATCTTTTTTTGTAGTTTTAAGGCTTCTGGGCCTTCATTGCTATCAAGTTATAATGTCAAAAATAACATATTCTTTTCTTCCATATTTTACATTTATGTATAAGCATTTATAAGTAATAAAACGTCATTATAATATTCGAAAACATGATAATTTGATCATTACGTCAAATAATTCAATTTTCAATAATTTAATCAATACCTTTACAGTCGGACTTCGTATATGAATTCGTATATCGAAATTTAAGACAAGAATTTATTAAAGTCGTTGGTACTTTACTGGGACTGGAGAACTTTTCAGCCACATACTGTACGATAAAACCCAGTGCACATAAATGAAACGTGACAGCGTATCAACCCACCTTCTCATCAAGACACTCTACCAAGTCAGTGACATACCCACGCAACTCTTGGTAATATTTGAAGCGTTGTGCGTAATGCGGCGTGCGAACTTTACTTTCGTCCAACTCTTTCATGGTTTGCTCTAATTCTCTGTCTAAACGATCCTGATCTTGCTGATGTCGTCTATGTACCTCTTTCAAGTTGTCCAACCTTTAAATAACAGTGTGCATTTGTATTAATTGGCTACCATTGAATTTTCTATTGTATATAAAGCCCAAGATATGTTTGGACAAATGTAAAAACCTTGCGCGCATCTTGTTCACGACTTCTTGTGGAGTAACAGGTACGATTTTTGTTGGATCTGGTGGTTGAATGGACGGTGGTGGTGGCGGTGCAGGCATTAATACCATTTCCAAGGGTACACCAGACCCGATCATCTGATTAACATTCATACCCATTGTGTATTGTTGTTGCAACATAGAATCCTGTTGTGCTGCCGCAATCTATGGATCGAAAGATTCAAGGTATTCAACATTGTTTTATATATTTTTTTTGTCTCATTTTAAATCTTGGTTTAATAAAAATAAAATATATTAATAAATTACTCTTTTACCTGAGCACCGGTTACACCTTTTCGTATTTGTTGAGCTTCCCACTCCTCTTCTTCATTCTCATGTTCACTTTCATTATCTGAAACTAAATTAAAACATATGTTCTAAATTTTGTTATCTTTCATTAAATGCTTTAAAGTTTAACTGTAATTACATATATATATATATATATATATATAATATATTCATAATAAACAGTATATAATATATATATATATATATATAT